ATTCCTTTTAACACATCATTGCGCTGGATGAACGGCCGCGGTTAAAGGGTGTAACATGATTCAACTATAGTCGAACTCCACGGTTTCAGTATTCGCAGTTCTTTCGTTTATCCGAAACTTTAATCCATTATTATTGTTAGCGCACGGTGTACACGCGTACCTCCAAATGCACTCTGACCTGGTTTCTAGTTATCACCTTCTCGAAGGACCAGAATGGTTAGCCCGCTCACTTAATTGGCTCACCATTCACTTAATAAACTGCACTTGTTTTTCCCCTTTTTTCAATATTTATTTACATCTGAACGTACAGGATCCCTGACTTGTCTTCAGGTTTCTAAAGGGCACTAAGATTGCTAATGGTCTAAGATACTATGTTGTTCCGGTATTTGCTAACTAACTGCTCGTGTTTGAGCGACTGACTTTGGCGATCTTCGCTCTTGATCGCCAAGTCCCTATTTTCTAAATTGTCCGCTGATTGGTTTCTTCTCATTTTGGCAGTCACCAATCCGCGGACCTAACTTAACGCAGACACTCCTCCTTGCGCCCTTAGCGCGCTCACTTGGGGAGGGGTGCCGCGGTGCTCGTGTGGGGGCGAAGACAACGCTGGTGGAAATTCGTCCAGGTGGCGGACCTTCGGTATCTTTACCGTTACATGCACGTGTCCAACTACCCTTCGGAATTTCCCTGTTTATAGCACGGCCACGGCTATTGAGGGACGAGAGAAGCGACTTTCTAAAACTCGCAGTTTTTAACTCATAAATCGTCTTCTCTCGCGAGGAAGTATATTACACTCTAAAAACACATGCTTACTAAAAACCTAAAAATCCTAAATCTCTAAAATAGCCCTTCACGCACGTCCGTGCCATAAACCGTGTTAGCGACGGTCGCTAACAATTATACAAAGAATTATGATCACAATTCTATCACGTTCGGTGCCATTTTAATCAAACATGACGGCGAAAGTTGCTTTCATCAAGAGTCAACAATAAAAAAGTTTAATTTTCAAGTTAAACGTCTCAAGCTCCTCGTTAGCCTTTAGTGTTGCCGAACGCTTCGACAACATTAAATCTAAAATCTTCGTTTCTTGAGGTGAATTTCATTCTGCCCCTTCAGAATTGCAAACTTCCGATCTCATTGAGTGTTGCAATTATTCAATGTTTATTGTAAAATGAAAATAATAAATAAAAGTTTACAGTACCAGTAGCTCATATATAAGAATAGTCAGTAAAAGCTTCATTAACCTTCTACAAACGTCTCTCATGTTAGCTCCATTGATCATTAATCTGAAAATGCACAAAGGCAAAGGAACTCTTCCACTTACAATGCTTAGGCTGCCTCTGCTTTCGACGCATTTTTAGTGCGCGACAATAACAAGGAAAGAAAGCAAGACCGAATGCGACGAAGTGAGACGGAACTATTGAGAATTTTATTTTCTATCGTTATGTCTCACTTCATCGCATCCGGTTTGGCTTCCATTTTTTGCTACTACTGTGCACCAAGAATGACCATGTGTCGAAACTGAACCGGCTCGAGCATCGTGAATGGAAGAGTCCCTTTGTTCCTGTGCACTTTTAAACCTAAGGTCGCCTTGGCTAACGTAAGAGCGGGACTGTGAGTCATTCATTGCGAATAGGTAAAAGAAACTGTCATGTCTACATCTAAAATTGAACGAGTGTCGCGTGTGATTTGAATAAATGGACACCGCAACGCGGACTATGAGTTTTCGGGCGGTTGAAGGACTCGAGGGAGATGCAGACGACACCAGACCCGACCACCGTCGACCGTTCCACATTGGTCGGCGGTACTGAAAACGGCGAGGACATCACGCCTCCTGCGGATTCGCCTCAAGTCTGATGCTATCTCAACGTGACGAATGAGCTGCTTTTCGAGATCGTTTCGTAACCCAGGGAACCAAGGGTGAAGCGGGGCAGAGGGAAGGGGCGACATCGGAAATCATCCGCGCGTTACTTGAAAATTCTTGGATGGAATTCACGGGAACTCGTGTTTCTCGCTAATAAATACTTCCCCCGAACGAACGGGAATTTTTCTCGCCGGGAACTGTTGCAAATTGGAAGGATTATTTTCCCGGAGACAAGATCTCGAGGAACTTTAAACGAATCATTGTTTTATTGAACGTCTTTTTCGAGACTTCTGATATTGGGGCGCTCGAGGAAATATAGCCCAACTTCTTGCCGTTCTGTCGTTTGAATCTCTTTCTGCGATGGGGTAGATGGCACTGGAAGATTACGTCGCAATGAATCGCCCTGACGAATGATAATTTTGAAACACGGTTTGTTTCTTGGAGTTGCCTGGTGTTATTATGTCTATACAGAGAAAGATGGACGATGATTTTGATAAAATGTATAGGGAAGATAGTTTTCGAAAAATTATTTAAGCAGTGTCTTTTGCTAGGCATCGCTCGAATTAAAAACATGAAAACAGTAGAAAATTTGAAGCAATTAATGTAAACAAGAATTTACTATTCGGTTTGAGGAAGGAGTGAATTTTTTAACTACATTCATCGTTTTATGTGTTATTCTACTTTTTCCTCCATTTTTTTATTCAATCTTGATATATAGTTTGTTTACAAGTGCATACATAACTAGTTTCGTATTTTTTACAGGGTGCTATAGTATAACGAGAAATAATAGTTGAAAACGCTATGAAAGTTGGTATCCTATAAAATAGGTGCTCGAGTAAATGCTCGAGTAGATTTTAATCACAAGAATTAGGAGGAAACATTTTTTAACGTTTACTAATAAATGCTGGATACTACATGTTTTTTTTCTTAAAACTTCCCAAAACATACTTAAAAAGATGATGTTACTTATTATCTTTGTATTCCCAATATAAAGTCACACAGTTAAAAAAGACTTATAATTTTTCATATTCTACTTTCTACCATTTTTTGAAAAATGTTTCTTATCGCCCACCTTTAAAAGGTGTTTCCAGTCGTTACATATGAATGATATCTTTTTCACAAATTCGTATTACATGCTCTCCATACAATTAAAAATTGTATAAACTGAGTTAGTCAATGCTGATTGCCACATGAGATATTTAAGAACCTGCCGATGCACCAGAACAATTATGAAACGAACGTTATTTGCCGCAAAAGAGACGACCGTGTGTTTTAATGGTTTTCACTGTCGGCGATATTGCCCCGGCATTTTTACGTGTATCTGCTAAAAGCATTAGCGAATAAATTTTATATCGAATAATTGCTGAAGGCCGCTGTCATTAACGTACGGTTATGCTTTGTGGTTCGTTCGTGCACTAAAACGTCGCGTATTTCAGTGCCCATTTTACTATTAAATTATTGAACGAGTTCACGGGCGTATTTCGTTGATCAATTTTAAACATCTTTCCGCGGTCCCTCGCGTTTGATTCCCCGGTTTACGGAAAATTGGCCGTGTAGATGGATACGACGCGCGACGGCGTACAGTGGTGTCTTTCGACGAAAAGCTGGCCAAAATATTTGAAGTATGCAGCAGCGTTTTCCTGATGCTGTAGATTTATTGTGTACACTTCAGTGCATTTAATATCGTTTAAAAATTTTAAATATATTGACTGGTTATAGAGATATACACCGTCAAAGTTGTTAAAATTTCAAATCTTCTAATGTCTCGAAAATTAGAGCTTCTTTAATGTGACGGGGACAATTTCTCTTAACAAGTTTGTTATTTAAAACACTTGAATATTAAAATAGATAATATAAGCATATATTAGCTATAAAAAGAAAGTAAAATATCTTTGAATTTATCCTTGTAGTTTCTTTTTCTATGTATCACAAATCTTAGTCATGCTTTAATAAACGGGAAAGTAAACAAAGCTGAGTATCGCCGAGTGTCACGCTGGGACAAGTTTCCTAATATCAACTAACATCTTTAATATGATATCTCGTTGAAAAAATTTCCAAAAATTTGTATCATTTTGAGATATTTAGATTTAAAATGTTAATAAAGGGTACATACGGTCTGTCCCATTAAATCATGTTAACGATATTTCTGGCATTAGTAAGGTTAATATATTTGTAAAAATTGAATACAAAACATGGAAATTTATCTAAAGCATTGATATAACTTTATTTAACAATATATTCGAAATTATATCATGAGAAAGCTTCGGTTTAAAGCAGTCAATTCAATAATTTTCTTAAAAGTACAAACTCAGTGCAAAAATTTTTTTGAAATTAACATCGTATTATTAAATTCAGTATTTAAATTGAATACATTTTATCAAACGGTGAAAAACAATATTATACAAATTTACTTAAAAAGTATGTTTATATAAGTGATGTTATCCGCTATTTTATATTTCGCATTATTGATAAAACATTCAAATTTAGCAACTCTAAAAACATAAGTGTACTAATTTTCATGAAAATCCTATGAAATTGTGAATTTTTACCAGCTTTTCGTTAAAAGGCACCTCGCCGCACAGTGCGTCCAAATGCTCGTTTTCTGGAGAAAACTCAATAACTTAAAAAATACAAGTGATAGAAAAAAATGCGTTAAACAAAGTTGTAGGGAATAGAGCTAAGCATATGGTGGTTATATCATTTTTACATTATGGAGATAGGAAGATTATTAGATTAAGACACAAGATTATGTCAAATCAGATCTACATTCTTTGGAAAATATTTTCCATGGATTAATAAATTTAACAATGAATACAAGGTAAAAGTATAAATACGTGATAAATACGGAATGTCTGTAGGACAATCTTTAAGCGTACTAAACAGTTATTCATTAATTTTTCAAATAAAAATCACTTTGTATAGCCGAGACTACTTAGCAACAAATTGGTAACCTTCAATTTTCGTTATTTGAATAGTCGAAGTTTGGGGTTTTGTCCACAGGCGGCCGTACTGTGCCGCACAATGAAATGTCAGTAAAACGTTGTCGGTTGCGATGATTACGAACCTGCACGAGCGAACCCGCAATATCTTAGACACAGCGTGTGCATAGTTAATACAATGTGTCTCCTGCCCCTTTCAGCTACTCCCGACGTCCGAGAGGCACGTATTATGTGAGGTGATACTTGCAACGAGGGAAACGAAGATGTCCGCCGTCAGCGTGGCTGCATGGCTGCTCAGCGCCGTCGCTTTCGCTGCGATTAATAATGGTGAGTCATATCGCACAACCTCTATTCGTTGAATTAACAATTACACCTCTCGCATATGTGGAATCGTAATTTAATCCGACAACACCCGACTCCGGCGTTCACGCGGAACGAGTAGTCCGACTCGTTTGCTCCGCAGCATCCGGAAGCCGATAGCGGAATGTCGAAAGTTCGCGTACTCGAAACTTTTTTAAATGGTGCTCCGTTTCTTTTAGCGTTACGGGGGAAACGACGGAATGTTCTGCTCGCTTAGAATTTCGAAACTGTCGCGTCTCACGGCGCGATACAACGAGTGTCACTTGAAATCGTTTACTTGAATGTTTGCAAGATTTTTGTTTATACAGTGTTTTTACTACGTATTTCAAGTTGGAATAATTTACGTAAATATATAAACGTATTTTCGTGAATGTTATAGGAGCAACTAATAAATGAATGTATTGCGAATGTTAACTTGTTAACACGTTCCATGGCATCGTAAATTTCAATTATATTTTGCTTACAAAGTATAATTTAGACTTTTATATACTTTGATATCATTTTTTTACATTTCTACTGTTTTGTAATGTGTACTGCTATCTGTAGCTACATATCTCATAATAATTTTTTCTTGCAAAAATTACCATGTACCATATATGGTACATGCGGCAGTGAACGTGTTAACCGTGGAATTTAGTTTAAAAACATTCTTGTTTTGCGCACAATAAAATCAAAAAATAAAGCGTGTATTCGTCAAACACGAGACGAATGCACCTAGGGTATATTTTTATGAGAAATCAAAGCAAAACAAAGAAGAATTACATGTTTATCTGAAAAAATAAATAATTCATCGTTCAAAAAATTGATATCATTTCAAGCTTTAAGATTACGTGTATACGCGTCAAACGCAGATAACTGGTTAAAGTATCTGATATGCATTATATATTTTCAGAATTTGAATAACGAATAACATTCGCGATAAAATACGAAGCTACATTTCGTAATCGCGATTCTTTATTTTATTTATTTTATATCCTCGGCCGTTTCCCCGGTCATTACATTATCATTTCCTCTGCCACTTGTTTAGAGAACGCGCTCCGCGGATTTTAATTGGTGGCAAACATGCAAGCGATACGTTCCGCCGCGTTATTCAGTGTCACAATTAGACGGTAAAATCGTTAGTAGTTGAAGGAACGCAAAGTTTTTATCTAGCTCTGATAAAAGCTGTACAATGCGGGAGATTATGTAAAGAGGCAGTGTTTAGTTGCTATTTCTATATCATTAACCCTTAAATGTGGGCGTGAATGTAACTTTTAATCAATTAACTACGTTCGACGAATATACGCGTCATCTTAAAGCGAAAAATGGTACTAATTTTGTCAACGATAAATTATTTATTTTTTCAGATAAATATATAAAATTCTTCTACGTTTCGATTTAGTTTTTCGTTAGAATATATAATAGGTGAATTTAGCCTGCGTTAGACGAGTATACACTTTATTATTTGATTTTATTGCGAGCATTATTAAAGATTTTTGAAATTAAATTCCACAGTTAACAGGTTAAGTATAGAAGTTTCAAAATTGCCGATCAATGTTAAATATTCTCGATTGTAGCAAAATAATAAAATGATTGACTATATTTATATTTTTAACTTATTTAAATATCTTTATATAGTAATAGTGTCAACTTTGTCACGAAAATTTTGCTGATTTCAAAATTTACGATATTTTATATAGAGATCTGTTAAACTGCTCGACTTAAAGGTTAAGGGTGTCTTCATGTTTAAACGTGCTTCTCTCGAGTAGTAGTTAGAATTTTATTTTTAGGATTAAATGAACACAACAAATTTAAGGGGATACTGTTGTTTAATGTGAAATTTTAATTTAGACCTGATACTTAATTTTGAATCTACAAATTGAGAACTGATACTATATATAATTAATTTTGGAATAATTTTCAGTGTAAAACAATTAATTAACCCGAATTCATTTCTGTTCCTGAATCATGCATCGAGTTTTGAAATGATGGATTCCCAAATATATTTATGTATCAGGTAAATTTTTGAGACCCCGTCTGATTCGACTCGGTTCAAGTACTTCGAGTTTCTAGTACTCGAAAATTCGGTATTCACACAGCCTTAACTCTTTATCTTCGAGATGTGACTGTCAATTACCATTTAATTTGATATAGCAAAATCATAAAGTTCGATATTTAACTAGTTTTACATACTGTATCAATATGTGAAATATTGAAATAAAATATCTCCGTTTCTTAGTTTACGCGTGATTTCTCAGTAAGTTAGTTTCAAAAATGTTGTCTATGTCTCATCAGAAATCGTCGAAGACCTGTAATGAGAAACTTTCGAGTGCAAGGAGTTAATAAATGTTAGAGAATTGCGAATCTTGAAATTGTCGGGACCTCTTTGGTTAAAACAGGACGAGTTTCCGAAAATGTCGAATTCCTGAAAATGTTCGGGATTTCCGAGAACGTTTGGGATTTCCACAGGGAATCACAATCGAATCTTATAATGTAGTTTCTGGAATCCGTCTAAAAAATCGGAAATCCAAAAGCATGGTTGTACTCGCCAAAGGTTCCGTCGAAGCGGTAATCGAGTTCTCGATATTTTCGGGAATCTCGAACATCTTCGAGAATTCGGGATTTTCGGAAACCAGCTCCGATCCCTAAGAAGATCATCTCGTTCTGACACTATATTTTCCGGTTTTCCCACACGTCTAATAAACATACGATTCTACTCCTTCTCTGTAGGCAAGCTGACTCTCTTATCACGATTATGTTTTCCTCTGAATCCGCGTGTCTCGTTAATCTCTTGAACGTAAATGACAAGTCTCGCCTGCACGTGCAGGGGAAAGTAGGGTAAAATGGGACGCTTTTCTTTTAATCATAATAGCAAAGTATCTTGAGCCATTAACGCATGAAACCTTTTTTGGAAGTCTTAAATAAATTTTTGGCTATAAGGAAATAAATGGCTTCTTTAATAAAAATATTTAGTTACGAAAGAAAATACGGTTTTCTAAAGGTATTAAATACCCGCATCGCAAAAATGGTAGGGTAAAGGGAACACTCATGTAAAATCATATAAAAATACAAAATCTTTATTTCTACTAAATCAAAATTTCTAGTTAAATATATTTAATTGTTAGCTGATATAAATAAACTATAAATAAATATATACGAATAAAAATCACGGGCGCAATCTAATTGGTTACTTTTTATCTTATCTTCGATTCTAGTTTGCTATACATCAATACGTTTATGCGTAATTAATTAATACTATAAATATAGCATACGGAAAGGGATTCCTGTTGCTCCTATGTTAAAGTGTTCCGCTTTGCCTCACGCATCATAAGTTAGAAAAGTATTTAAAATTTACAGTTTGGTATGGGATAACGAAATAATTTAAGTGTCAAAAATACAGCTTACGAAATGTAGAATCCAGTACTATAGTCATCTTGTTCAATTTTTTAATCGGTAAGTAAAAAATATGCTTCAAACATCTATGTAACATCAAAATGCTTTTAATCGAAAAATAACTTATGCACTGCTCTGTAGTTGATTTCAAACTACATAGAGGATTCATTAAAGTCATACTGTGCAATATCAACTCGATACGAGCTCTATATCTATGAAAAACATTATTGTCCTATTTTACCTAACCAGTTCGTTTTACCTTGCAGAACTTGATTTTGTAAATTATTTTACAAATCTTCCTATCGTAACTAAAATAATTTTCTTATTTCGATAAACAAATTAAATTGAAATTGTAATACTTCAGTTTTCTTTGTATCAGTTATGTCCATGATGTGGTGTCCAGGAAATGAAATATTGTAAGCAGAAACGTTTGTGTCAACGTAAATTGTAAAGCAAGAGATTAATACTAAAACTACGAGACAGATTAAAGTGGCCCTTTCCCGATATCTTCTTTTTGCAATTATTAAAAAAATAATATATGATTCTCTGAAAAATGATTGAAGAAGTTAATCCAGCAATACTCAAGCTGAATTGTAAATCAATTAAAGTCTCAATAGATGGACTCTTGGAGTTTTTATAGAGGAATTTCAAAAAATCGATTTAACTGCTCAATAGTTTTAGTGTGAACAGACGTTTGTACGAAATGTTTTTGGTCGGATCGTGATGAAAATAACGCAAACAAGGTTCGCGGCTCGTCGCATCCGGCGTCTCTTCACGGCGTGGAAACTTCTCCGACGCTTGGAAGTCGTTCACATCCAGCTTAGAATTCAAGAATGGCTCTTTCAAGTCGTTAACGAACTTTCAAGTTCTTTTCTCTTTCTTCCGTTCACGGCGGGCAAGACCGGCCGGAAGAACGCTGACATTTCGAATGCAACGGGGAACAATTAGCGTTAACGGTGTTACAGTTGCAAAGTGATTTTCAAGCCGGCCAGAAGTTCCGCTCTCGTACACCGCGGCCGATAGGAATCGATGGATTCGTCGATTGCGCGACGCACAGTGGTCTGGAAACCCGTTACTTCTGACCAAAATTTAAAAGCCTTAAAAGATTGATGAAAATTGGTAATCAGAGGTCTTTGGGGTCACTGATGATGAATCTGACACCAAAAATTTCAAATTCAAGGTGGCGGATTCAGTATCATGCACCTGTGATATAGAAATTTGTTTTGCATGGCCGAAATTAAAGGAATTTTTGTACTGACTTATTCTTATCGAAAATATAATTAGTATAAGTAATATAAATAAGAAATAATCAAGAAATAAAAATATATGAAAACAAAGTATGAAATATAGATCACAAAATACAAAACATTTCACTAAAATTATTCTACGTTTTCCAATTTAATGTTATCTAAATATGTAAGAAGTTGCAATATAAATTCTCTGTCTTGCTGAAAATATTGTAGTTCATTTCGGACGACGTCTCTTTAGTTTTAGCGTGAGCGGTATCTAGCGTTGAGAGCGCGAGCGCTCCTGGGTATCCATTCGTTAAAATCTATACAAAAATGCAAGTGGCAGGTGTGGACATCTAAAATTTA